AGCAGATGGCAGAGCCGGTGCGCGGGTTCGCAGCAGCCCGGCAATGCTGCGCTGGGAGAGGCATGGCAAGGGCGAGGGGGGCACAGGGGCATCCATCCATCCATCCGTCCGTCTGACCTTCAGGGCACTGCTGGGTGCCTAACGTACGCTCTGCTTTATCCCTGAACGCTCAGATCCCAAGGCTGCGCCCACGGATGTTAGGATAAGAGTTTTAAACAGCACTGCCATTGCTCTGACCTGGACCCGAGTGCACCTGGACACCATCCAGGGACAGCTCAAGGAGTACAGAGTGAGAAAAACCAAATCTCATCAGCACTGATTATTAATACCGCTAACCTTCTCACAAGCCGAGGTGGCTCCGGTGATGGAGCTGCCTGCCATGGGGATGACCGAAAACTCTCCTCCGGCCATCACGACCCTTTTGCCATGGCTGGGTGCAGCCCACGGATGCTGAGCTCGGCCCTGGAGCAGCACCAGAAATGAAGGGCCTTGGTTTGCTCTTCGTGGTGCCTGGATGGGGCTGGGGCCATCTCCCGTCGCTCCCCCAGGGCTGGGTGCTGGGCTGGCCCTTCCCAGTGCATGGCTGCAGGACCTGGGGTGCTCAGACAAAGCAAATGGGGCTGCCCTTGGGCACCCAGAGAGGGACTCGGGGTGGTCCTATCCATGGAGCAAGGGGTCTCCTGGCTCTGGAGCTGCCCAGAACCCCGGGCTGGCTGGCTCGGGGGGGAACGACATCAGATAGGTACAAACAGGATGGTTTTTGTGTCATCCCCAAAGTACCTACATCGTCTTTTAATGAACACCGGCCCCTGCAAAATCTAAACTCAACGGGTTCCTACTAACTGGCAACTAAACACAGCATGGATCCTGTTGTGTTTTGGTTTGTTTTGTTTTTCTTTTAATGTTGAATATTTACTGCTGAGGTAAATTACTAGTGTTTGTGTACAGAGGACAGACCCTGTTCAAAACAAGCAAAAGGCTGGAGAGAGCCCCTACTGTCAGAGGTTAAGCCATCACCAAAAACACACGTCCTGCAAACAGTTACAGCATTTCAAATCCAATAATCTGCTGGGCGTAAAGCAAGCTCTCTGGCTACTGCTTTCCTTTTTTTCTGCCCCTGCTCTATCATTCTGGTCTATTTTCTGAATGAATCTTATTTCTGCATGAAATAAGATTTATAGTCAGGGCTTCAAATGGGAGACTTTCCAAGTTCAGACTTTCCTTTGTGCCTGGACACATCCCACCTTCCCTTGTACACCGCTGCGGTACTAACCCGGGTAGAGTCACTTGATGCCTAGCGCCTGGGGACCAGAAACAGCTCTTTGTAGTCTGAGCTTAGTGGTTCTGCTCTGTGACCTTTGGGAAGCGCTTAACCCCATCCTCAGCCTCTTCCTCGGGTAACATCACTGACCTGCCTCGCTGGGGGGAGTGGAGCTTCATTAATTGCTCTAAAAGGCTTCTGCAGCCGAGAGCTGCTCTTTGGAAAGGCAAAGTTTTGCTATGCTTTGTTAATGAACAAACAATTGCACTTAAATGGGAAAAGCTTCACTTGCCGTGCATGTTTCTTGAAGGCCTATTTCTGGAGAGACAGTAGTTTGCTGAAGAACCTGTGGGTCTCCAAAAAACGGCAGTATGTGAGTTTTCCTGGAGACCGAAACCGGGGCATAGTGTCCCGGCTGTTTCCTTACAGCAACTACAAGCTTGAGATGGTTGTAACCAACGGGCGAGGAGATGGGCCACGCAGTGAAGTTAAGGAGTTCCCCACACCAGAAGGAGGTAGGTTCCCGGGGGGGGCTGTGCAGGCACCCGTCCCCCGGGCGCTTGCTGGGAGAGGTTTGGGTGGTTCGGCTCTGCAGAGCGGACCCGGAGCCGCATCGCTCTGCGGCAGAGCCGTGATGCTGCTGGGGAGATGAGCTACGGACCATTTTTAGGCGAGCCTGGGCAGCATCTTTTGGGCAGCTGTCACACAGCACGGCTGTACGCCTTCGTCACCACGGGGTAGGTGACATCTCTGCAGCTACTCCTACAGCTAACTACTGGCACTGTCTCATCAATCTAAAAATCCCCTTCGGGTGCTTTGAACACCTCAGCAAGTAGCTCTTAGGCTGAACAAGAGAAATGTTTGCAAAACCTCTTCAGAGGCACAGCACCGTGCCCTTGATTTGCTGCCTGACCTGCAAATGTCACCGCACCTCTCCATGCTGCGAGTCGGTGAAACGGGAGTGACTATATTCATCTTGCTCAGTAAAAGGCAGTAAAATCTTTCCAAGACCTAAGTACTTTTGTTCTGAAAGGATGTCACTAATACCCCTGTCAGGCTTTAAAGGCAAGAGCACCTCATTCTTCTCTTTAAAGAGCTTGTGTCAAGGATGAACTTGAGATTTTAATTTTCTTGCTGTCACAGGAGCTATTTATAGACACGCCAATAACTTTTTGTTAGAGCTGCACTTTCAGTGGCTGGCAATGAATCTTCCTATAGCACAGATGTTTTGGGCACAGTCTTGTTACAGAAATGGAAGAGGAGAAAACGGTAGAGGCTGGAAGCAAATCCTGGCTCAACTAACACAAAACAGTACAGGGTCTTCCTCTTTCTCTTCCTCTTTATTCTATTCCTGCT